TTTACATAAAAAGAAGTCGGAGTGTAAATGTTTAGCAAACAACCCAATGTTAGGTAAGTCAGAAAGTTCATTCGCACCATTTTTGAAAAATCATAAGTTTTTGCTCACTCAACTATTTGCACAAACTTAGAGGGAGAACATATTCGTGAAAGTACCTTTGCTGCTTTCAAATAAAAATAGTTGAAATAAAAGCAGGTAATTCATTGCTTCACTTCAACCCAGTATGGAAAATCTGAAACTTGCGATATTCGGAGCAAGCAGTAATGTAAGCGTTTGGTATCGCCCTTTCCAATTGCGCAAAGTTTGTGAATTGAGCATGTTTTTAAAAGATTATCTCTGAAAAAATAGGCTTTTTGAACAAGCGGTACAGAACAGCACATCTGATTTTTGGTACTTTTTGCAAAGATCACTACTTTTCAGGCAACATCATTAGATCAAACTTTGCACAGTTAGTTATAAAGTGGTGAAAAAAAGTCGCTTTTTGCTTCTTCGCTATGGCGCTCAACCAGGCTAATACCAAAAACGCATGATGGGTACTGTCCGATAGAGCAAAGCAAACTCTACAAACTGGTTTTGATGTTTTCGTGTTGAAAACAAAATCTAAAAGCTTCTAAATGCGCCCAAAAATTTTAAAAAAATCGGATTTCCTTCCAAAAACTTTCTTCCCTTGGCACACATCTGCGCTATCGACATTAGACAATCATATTTACATTTGCTCTAATTTTTTCTTAATTAGATATTGAGAAATCAAAAATTTTCGTGTTTTTCTTGAAGCAATGCCGGGCCGTTCCGGTATAACTGAATCTATAACACAAAGCTTTGGAAAGGTAACTGTAAATATTTAGCCATTCTTAAGGGCTGGTTCTAGAGAAATTCAATATTCAGCGGAAAGATTTTGATAGAGCGCAGCCGTATATGATATTTTGAATCAGCCGTGGGAAAAGGCTAGAAATTAAAAGCTATAGCTACAAAGGCTTGTAGTATAGATTACTTATGTCAACGGTCCATTAATGCTTTGAGAAAATCATGAAAATTTTTGATTTCTGGTTTCTCGTTAGGAAAAAATAGAGCAACTTTACAAAAGAATGTCTAATGTCGTCGACAGAATAGTTGGGTGCAAGCGGAAGTCCGTATAGGGTTTTTGGACAGAAATGTGATTTTCTTCGACTTTTTGGGCATTTGGAACTTCTTAAATTTTGATTTTGAAGTTCAGGTGGGAAAATACTGTCGCAAGAGTATCGATATCATTTTGTAGAGCTTGCTTTATTGAATAGTTCTCATCATGCGTTCTTGGCATGGTTGCGGTGTAATGATAAGGAAATAAAAAAGACGTTATTTGACAACCTAATAGAAAGGGCAACGGATCAAGAGACTTACCCCTACTGCTTGTTTTAAGTTCATTGCAGGTTCATTTCGACAGACTTGTTCAAAGAGTGATTTTATATTTTCTGCATTTAGTTTGAAAGCTCACCCAATGAAAAGCAGCAGAAGCATTTTTGTAAAGGAAAAAATTTCTTTTTTTTTGTAACAAATTCGAGTATGTGCACATCCGTCGAGTGCACACTGTTTAATCGTTGATACTTTTTTGCTTTAATGTATCTTGTCTTCAATTTTGATCTTCAAGTCCGTTCTGTAGAGCTTGAGGTGCGAAGAAAAAGTGAAAGACCCCCCAAATCAGAATTTGACCTTGACTGGAGCAATTTCCAAGCGCCGATTTTGAAACGATTACAAAATCGGGCTTTAGCATTCGAAGTTACACTAAATGAAGAAGAATTCTTGCAATGCCTTGGTATCGAGTCGTAGTTTCGGCACGTCCGAATATGCCTAGTAGGCACACCACCTGGGGCGAGATTATGGCTCGAATAAGAGAGTTTTGTTCTTCAAAAAATACAGCAGTCGTACATATGATTATCTGATGTGAAAACTGCACGACCTCTAACTCGAGTAAGTTTGAGGTTCGTACGAATTTTTTTTTTCGGAGGAAGAAAGACCTAATTTTTTGAGCATTCGCATTTCTCTAGATCTCGACTCCAACCTTTGTGCAGATCAAACTTGCTGTGAATGTTTGAACGTCATCTTGTAGATTGCTTTCTCTACCACTTCAACCCAATTTCTCTATCACGTATATAAGAAGGACTGGTTTACTGCGGTGAAGGCACCATCCACCCTAATTGAGGTTGATGAGGTTTTTACGTTGTATAGCAGCGGGGCCCCTAAGTGAGCAATCGTTCAACTCCGCTGCAAAAAATTGATTTCAAAATGAGGAAAAGGCTTAAGCAGTAGAATTGCTCGGATGGCTCCGCCCATCAATGTGGGTGGTTCGAAGATAAAATAATGTATCCGAATTTGTCATAAATCTCCTTTCGTTATGACTACCAGATTTTTGACATTTTTATCAATCCTGAAGCCCATTATCTCCAGACCACCTAAGCTGATAGGCGAAGCCAGCTAGGCCGCTTCTTCCTTCTGAGGCGATGTCTCGGGATTCATTTTTTTGCAGGGGGTGGGAGATTACATTACATAGTTAGGGGACACCCGGCACGCATTGGTTTGGAGCTTTTCTGGAAACGAAGTCCTCCATGATCTCGAGAAAATTCACAAAGTCCCTCTCGACGTAAAAATCATTAGGGAGACGCTTATTCGATCAAAATAACAATAAAAAAGCGAAGAAAGCGCATTTTGAGTTATTTAGTATAACAAAAAAGCAAAAAGAAAACATTTCGAGTCAATTGAAGGCTCTGCCATTGGGTAAAGTACCATTTTAGTGCTCAGAATGTCACAAACTTTGTAGGCCAACCAATTCTGTGACCTCAACAATCCGGCGATGCATTTTTCGCCACATATTTCAAAGGACACCGCTTGTAATTGGAGCGCAATATCTATCAACGCTTAGGACCCATTTCTCCGTTATCCGGACCCATTTTTTCAAAACGCTCTCACAACATATGTTCTTTAGCCTAGAAAATTTTTTTTGTAGATTCTACAAAGACTGCCTCCCAGACACGTTTCAGTCGATTTTGACTTGTTATTTTTTCGAAATCATTTCCGGTGGGTTAAAAAAGCGTTTGTGACCACCTAGAAGACTTTCAACTGTTTTTCATAAAAGCAAAACTGTCTAGGACTTATAGCAGAACATCTTAGTTGCTTTCAGCAATAACTCCAACTTGTCTTCCTCTTCTCGAATACAGTCGTATTAATGGCAGTACAAAACAAAACCCTGCTAAAACCTGCTAAACGTGTAGATGACATGTCAAATTTTTTTGACACATGGCAGAATGTTGATCCTCCCTGTGAATTTGAAACCAAATATGATACAAGAAAGAAGGCTATATCCTTCTTTGAAAAAATGGGTCCGGTTAACGGAAAAGTACCTAGGATTACGCTACTTTTGGCTCGAAAAAAGAGGAGAGGCAGTAGTTTGATTCGCTCTCTTCAATATATGATAGGTGTTTGACCGATACAATCGTCCAAGTTAAAAAGGTCCAAAACTTATGCGAACTCTCCGATATTTATGCTCCGAACCAACCCAGTTGGTTTGGTGTTGTCTAGAAACCAACAAATTCGGGAACGGATATTAAGACGCATAAGTTTTTAGAACTTTTTACATAACATAGTTTGGAGTTGTATACACATAGCCCAAATTCGGTGTCGTGTGATTGTTTGTGCGCTGTAAACAAGCCATTTCTATTTGTTCGTTTGAGTCCTGCGTTTAAAACCGCGCTTGCGAAGGAACACGTTCAACTCGTAAAACCTGACATGTTCGTCGTTTCTTTTCTAACGTTTCCTACAGGACCTTATAAAAACGATATTCCCGTTGCCTCTAACTCCAAAAACGAAGTCCAGTTTGACCCCAAACCATCTGTGCCGGGTCCTGTTAGGAGATCAGCTATAGTACAGCAAAAACCTCAGAATCCTCCATTTGTACAGTGCCTTCAAAGAATCAAATATGAAAACACGTATGAGACAACTCGATAATTTGATGCTTATTGCACGGTTCACCGTTTGAGGTCGTTTAGCTGCCACATTCAATGGATTATTTTTTTCATCACTATAGAAACCAATTATATCATCACAGACCCGGTTAGGTTTCCATCGTCTTGTCGTGGGTAAAATCTACCGGCGATCGTTTATTTTACCCTTGGTCGGCGATCGCGATACCACAGCACTCCTTATACATCTGCTCTTCAGAGAGACATTCACTCGTGACTTTTCTTAAGGCGCCAGTTGGTCACAAGATTGATTCAGTTTGATCACAAAACATATATCGGCCACAACGACACATTTGGTATGACGCCATGGACTGCCTCATGTTTGTCTGACGCCAATAAACCCGTCACAAACTCCAGTTTCCTTCTTCTCGACGCTGCAAAGCGTATCAAATACCCGTCATTTTTTACACGAAACAGGGCGCAACATAATGTCTGGAAGACTTGCCCAGGTACAAATTGCTATTGTCATTCGAGATACAATTCAAGTCTTCACTCGCTTGCAGCATAATCTGCAGTAGAAAAAATAGCAAAAATAGCAATGCAAAAATAGCACGAACCTTTCTTTGTCATCACTCTCTTCCACTGCAGAAAAATTGTGCATGCCAGATACAGTGAGAATAAGAATAAAACTGTTATTGATTTAAAGCTAATGTCAGCTCAACGACACATGCTTTTAACATCAGCTCAACGACAATGTTCAAGACTGTCCAGAAATTCTTTTCTTACTACATAACCACATCTTGTGTTGCAGATGAACGCTGGACGTCTATGTTCCAGAAAAGTGAACGTTTTTTTAACTCACCGTAAGCTATTGGTGGTGGCATTGATGTGACGTGAGCATTTACATGAAAATTAGATAGTGTCACTGCCGCTGTGCTATCAAAACAATGAATTGGAAATGCAGTGAAAAGAATTTGAATGATTATTAAAATTTGCTTTCAGTCGCGTAACTCACACGTTATTGCAATAATTGAAAATACCACCCATGAATTATTTAGTAATCACCATTTGCCGTGTTCTTGCACATGCTTCACTTTATTGTTGAGACGGTAATATTTAGCACTTTGCTATTTTTGCAAAACTTGTTATGCAATGCTATTAAGGTGACCTTCCTTGTGGCGACCTGTCTTGGTAAGTGTATTGGAACAGTATTATTTACTCTGAAAAAAAAATATGTAGCAGTGCTGCAATGTCCGGATGGTGCCATTGAAGTGGAAAGCGCGACTGAAATAATTGAGTATGTCAATCAAGTGAGGGAGAAGTTGGCTAATGGCTTACAAACCACCGCGGATGGAGCCTTTTTACCGCCGCCTAAAGACATGACTGACTTGGTTAGTTGTCAAGACGCTCGTGTAAGCGCTCTTTACCTTTATTCTAAAAAGATTCGATTCCCAAACGGGTTTATGCTAACTCACAGAGGCTTAGTTGCCTTAGTAATTGGTACGAGTCACGCCCTCGATACGTAGAGCCATGCTTGGTAACCTTCACTTTGAGGGCCATGAGAAAACACAACCTTCACCTGGAAAAAACAGAAGTCATCCGGGGCAAAGCCCGGGTTGTTATAATCCTGACTATATCGGAACGAATGTGAATGAAGCAAACATGAGGAATGATATCTTTAGTTTGTCTCAGCGAAACCGAGAATCTGCGTTTTTGTAGCCTTTTACTCTAAAAAGGAGGTTTCTGTGGGAGTTTCGATAGGATTCAGGGCAACATTTCTCAGTTAACTTCTTGTTTCACCAAAATTGAGTTTCAAAGGATTAAGAAAGCTGTTGTAATTAAGTATAAAAACGAGAAACTGCGCATGAATCCTGCGCAAAGAGTCGCGCACCGCACAAAATTGCTGGTCTATCTCGGAGCGATTTTAAACGTTTGGGACGTTATCAGTCCTCCTCGTCGTGTCATGACTCAGACTGATACGTAATGTTGTAGGGTTTCGTTGAGACCCCGCCGAAAATCTGCGTCCAGAGCCAAATGCCCCGTTACCTCTGGTCTGTCTTTTCCTCTGCTCGTCTGCGTCTCCGCGCGATGCGCGCTACCTCGCTACCCCAAATGCGGGGCGCGGGGCATTTGCCGCTGCATCCATTTTCCTCGTTGTCGAATCCAGTTTTGGCAAGCTATATTAGGTTGCTGCATAAGTTTGTCCATTTTTTTGCCTCATGTTTGAAGCAGCTGTTCTAAGAGAATTTCATCCCTAATGCAGTATTGTTGGTATAATTAGAAAGTGCTTTCCTTGCTCTTTCTAACGCATATCAGATTCCAATAAATTTCTTAGTGCACGGAGATTTCAGGCTTAAAATCTCCAAGTGACCAAGGTACGTTTTCACCGTAGAAATATGTTCTTGCGAGAAAATCTCCACAGTGCGCCCTCAAGTCAAGTTCTTTCGTTAGCCGCGGAATAAGGGTGTAGAAGGCTAGTATGCAGAAGTTCGGTTCTATAAAGAAAACGTCTTGCTAGTAAAATTTATCGTCGAACATTAATTTTTTGTATAGATGTTTTACAAGCAATAACTTTCTGCGAATAGAAGTGATTGATAAGCTCAAAGTTTGAGGTGCTGGGGCAGAGCAAGAGCTAACAGGGCCTATCTACCAGTTCCTTTTCGGCGCTCACCTCATTGTACAATTCTCACAATTTGTAAATAGGCATGCACACATGTGCTGAAGCGAGGTCAAAAAGTGCCTTCTTTTTTGCTCGGTCAAAAAAATCTCTCGGCAGCGCAGACCCTTTGAGCTCTTTTATGTAGCTTAATAATCTACGCAAATTTCTCTATCTGTCCATTTTTAGATAAGATGTTTATCAATTCTCATAAGGGAGCGTTGCCATGTCAAAAAAGACAGGTTTGAAGAAAAACGCTGTAAAGGTTTTGCATTCTTGCTTCTCCCTTAACAAGGATTTGCGCAGATCTTGATATGTGTTTCATAGCCAAGGAACTGCTCAACACACAGAAAGTAAGAACTTGGAAAAAAGTTGACTTTGAAAGAAGTTACGACGTTTTGAACACAAAAAATTCAAATCGGACAGAACTTATGCAGCAACCTAATATATCATACTAGCGACCCTACGGATCGCTAGCAAGTGGGTCGAGGCCAATACATTAGTGAATCAAAGCTACACTTATTTATACACTAACAATAGTGACATTTGAACAAAAGCTATTTGCTTCATGTTGCAGCTTACGTTACAATGACAAACTAGACTATTCACAATTTGCTGCAGCGTTTTGAGCACAACTCTGACCAAAGCTAATTTCGATTACCCACGGGTTATTCGGAAAGTTCTGCCAATAATTTCCATACAAGGCTTTCTCAGCAACGCGATCAAAATTACCCTGAAGTTTCAGCAAGGGTACGAATTCTTTTCACTTTTCTAAAAATCCGTGTATTCGATTCAAATTTCTTTTGCACCTTAGGTTTTATCAGAGGTGAAGCGGTAACATTGATTATCGAAGTTTTTCCACAAGAAAGTCTTTCCTTTACATCCTCAAAATTTTTGCTAGTGCTGAAAATTTACTTTTTATCTTTAGGCTTTCAAGCCACTTGGCCACTTGAGGTGGCTTGGGAAAGCGAAAGTCATAGATTTTCTCTCCCTCACATATTTTTTTACCTTCTTTACATAAATTTTATCTATATCATAAACCCTAGAAATTGGTTCCTAAACTGTCGCAATCCTCCTCCTCCCCTCTTAGTTACAACCTCTCGATTTGAATGGCGGCGGCAACATTACTCCAGGGCCGGTAGTAATCCCCCCGACCTGGCGGCAGGTCTCGTCGGCAGGTTGCTGGCACCTTTCCGCGAGGTGGCCAGAAACTAAGAACCGAAATTTAGGCCGTCCCAGGCCTTTTTTCAAAAAATTTTCTCGATATAAAGTTGCCGCCTCGACTCTGTAGAAAACTTCATAAAAATCTGCGGCTCCAGAACTCCTCCTTTAGTAAAATATCTGGAATTCCAGGAGGAGCTGCCGGCAACTTCGCGATGTCAGTTGCCGGCAACCTGCCGGCAGGTTGCCGGAATCCGCGAGATGGCAGCTGCCGGCAGGTCAGAGAGCACGGGAAATAGCGTGCTCTTTTGAGAGAGCGAGCTGCCGGCATCTCGACGTGCCCCTACCACGTCGAGGTGGTGGCACCTTTGCCGACGGCGTCTGCGAGTTTGCGAATTGCGGCGATATCACACAATTTACGTCAGGCGAAAAAATCAAAAATTCTACTTTTCATGAAAAAAACTATCATTTTTCTCATTATATGGGTTTTTCTTTCTTAAAATGACGATTTTCTTACAAAGAAAAAATCCACTAATGCCTTAGAATCATATAGAACACGAACGGTTTTGGCAATCCCTTATAAATCTCAGTTTGCACCGATTTCGCTCCTCTCTCGCTCATATCAGTTCTTTCACGTCAAAGTCTCTCACGCAATGTATCGATCCCTTTTATAGGCAGCCATTCACCAGTGCGTTCCTCCTATTGCTGGTGCAAAAGGCAATGGCTGACCGAATGGTCGAATGGTTAACGTGGTGGCACTTCAAGCTAACGCACATAGGTTCGACCGCGCGCAAGGTAGCATTTTGCGGCTGTCTGCGTCATCAAAACTTAATGTGCGAAATGATTGCGTGCCAAGGTTACATAGGATTATTGAAACCCACAATCACTCCGCGAGCTGCCGGCGGAGTTGGCATCTTTCCGCGATGTGTGCCAACTTGCCGGCATCTATGATGCCACCAGGTAGGGTAGATTACTATCGGCCCAGGCGCGTAGCGCTGCGCGTTAAATATACATTATGATGCCAATCCGCAACACGAAAATATCGCGTTTGTTAGATTCTTCTTTGGCGTTTTGTTCTGTTTCTTTTCATGTGGTTTTTTTTCTAATATCTCATGGCAGATGTCGTACTTTCATAGTAAAGTTAAGGGGATTTCGTTTTTTGCAATTTCGGGAAGCCACCTTGTGCCGAGCCCTGGCGAAAAGGGCTTGACTTTACCTTGAGGTAACTAAGATAGGGTGAGCTAGGCCACTCATGTGTATCAAACACTGAAGAGCCCAATTTTTATCCAAAGCAAAATGAAAGTTCTCTATAATGGTATCTTGTCTCATAAATCACTGAATTGCTTTTCAGAAAGAATAAAGTTTGCACTGCAATCCTGGGAGCAGAAGTGAGACTTTTTCAGAGTATTTGACAGTTTCCACGCGAAAAATGTCTTTTATAAAACAACCTACAGTAAGGTCAAGCCGCCAGCGAAACCGAAATTGCACTTCATTCCTGAAAGCAAAAGCATATTTTCCAAAGTAGTCACAAAAAATTTGCAAAAACTAAGTGTGAAAGGTGTATCCTATAAAAGAGTCCTGCCGTAAATATTATCAACTCGTCTTTTTCCAGCGAGACTGAGCTTTGCACATTGCCAAAGCAAAATCTTCCAGAGTATATATCGAGCGCAGAATTTTTCTGCAAGACAACTTTGCTTTGAAAATCTTTGGGTTGTCTTCAAATACACAAACCCATTGTAAGCAGCTCTTACCGAATTTCACAAAAACGTTTCGAAAGAGCACAATTTCTTTGGCAATAGCTCACAGATAAGTATAAGTCAGCAATGCGCTTTTCTAACGGCAAAGCGAGATTTTTCTGACAATACGTATTACTCAAGTTCCCGCTCAACCTGGGCCTTTTCTTATATCGAGGTCAGACCTCTATTTTTTTCTGTAGACAAACGTAGGATTTTTTTAGAGTAGGATAACCCAAAAGTATTTTTTTGCAATTTTTGTGAAAATCACCTCTAAAACCTAATTCTTGGGAAATCTTCTTGGCCTGCCACATGAAGTCTCTGGTCTTCTCTGAAGGTAAGACCAGGCTCATCCTGATCTTTTTGGATGGTGGGGGGAAGCAATTATAGGAATCCCCAAAGTAGAAGAACCCAAAGGTATCTTTTTTTTGATTTTTAGCTATGACCATTCTTATTTTGAGGTGAAGTTCCTGCCGCATATAGTTCCTAGATTTATAAGAAAAAGTTTGCGTCGAACGAAGTCCCTGGTAGTTTCTGCAAGCGAGACCATGTTCGCCCCTTCCTTTCTTTATGGGCAGGTAAGAATTCCTCAGTGAAAAGAAAACCGAAAATTTCGACAAATTTCAAATTTCGTCCCTAAAACTTGGACTTCCTGAGAAGAACTTGCGCCCATAAAATCTGTCCTATTTTAGCCAGCGGGACCATGTTCGCCCCCTCCTTTCTGTTTGGGCAGAAGTAAGAATTCTCAGTGAAAAGGGAACCAAGTTTTTTCGACAAATTTCAAATTTCATCTGTAAAACTTGGAACTCCTAAGAAGAATGTCGCGCCCATAAAGTCCCTGTCCTATCAGCCAGCGGAACCATGTTCCCCCCTCCTTTCTTTATGAGCAAAGTAAGAATTCCTCAGTGAAAAGAAAACTGAAAGTTCTTTCGACAAATTTGAAGTTTCGTCTGTAAAACTTGGAACTCAATGAAAA